TGGGGAGAGTGGGTGGGAAAACCAGCGAGCAGGATGGCGCAAGAGGGATTAGGAGGTAAAAGGGAGGCTGGAGGTGGATGGAGGGGCAGATTAGTGCTCTGGATGTGAACCAGGAGCAGCTGGGTGTCCCGTGCTTGCCAGGACAACAGCACCAGACAGCCCTGGCCTCAGACCAGCCGAGGCCCGGCCAGCAGGACGCTGTACCGGAGACCTCCTCGGCACTAGGACCTGCCCCATGCCACTGAGGCTGGTGGGGAGAGATGGGTCCCGTTCCCTTTGCGGTCCTTCCACAGTCCCTCCCCAGCTGGGCTCTGCAGGCAGCAGTGGCGTGGGACAGTTGCCCAGCTCAGCTGCCTTCCCCAGACCCCCATCCCTGGTTCCCTGTGTCCCTCCTCATCACCTGCCCCTCATGGTGCCTTCCCCGGGTGGTCGGTTACGGCTTTCCCAGCCCTTTTTTCTCCACTGGGCTGTGCTCTGTAAGCCAATTTCTCCCCTTGGGTCTGCTCCGCTTTCCCCAGCGAGGATTACAAGCGGCACTTCGCTCCCCGGGACTTGCTGGTGTTTTCGGCTCACCCCCTCCTGGTTTATCCCACCCACTACGCTGGGGACAGCAACTGGCTGAGCGACACTGAGACCTCCACCATCTGGGATGACGATACCAAGAAGACTGACTGGGCTGGCTCACAGAAGACCCTGAGGGACTCACGAGGCGGCGCTGGCCATCTCCGCTCCACTGCCCGTGATGAGCTCTGAGGGTGAGCGAAGCCATGGGACCCACACATGTGGGGACAGGGACAGGGGACAGAGTGGCTGGGAGGCATCTCCCTGCGAGCACTGTGTTTGGATGTGTCGGCTGCCCAGTTTCTTTTTGCTGTGCTGCAGCAGCTCTCTCCATCAGAGTCAAAGCATCAGGGAATGGAGATGAGACCTTCTCTTCCAGGGAGGAAAAGGGACGAGGACACAGATGTCCCATGCGGGGCTGGAAGGGACTGGGGGACTGGGTCTTGCTGCTCCCCAGCCCCTCAAGCGGGGAAGGGACAATGCTCCTTCACCTCCTGCAAAAGTCACTCTAGCTTGGAGAGAGCTGGGAGCATCTCACGGGAACGTTTCACCCTGGAGCCGTTTGCTGACCCCCAACCCGGGTCTGCCTAGGACTGTGTCTCCGCAGGGCGGCCATGCAGGCAGGCGAGCTCCCGCACTCGCTTGGCCCCAAGGCAGCACCACCATGGTTAATGCCGGGTCAGACTTTCCCTGTCTGAGGTTGCTTGTGCTGGCAGCAGAGCCTCCCTGGGAGCAGCCAGACTGGGGGAGGCTGGAAAACAACCCTGTACTGCAGGCGTGAACGTGTCGGGGCTGCTCCTGCCTTGACTGCTAATGTTTGCATCCTTGCCTCCTAGGGACGAGGGATCGTGACCCAGCTGGGAGCACCGTTGGCCAGTGGCCCGATCCTGCCCGCTCCTGTTTGAGAGACGCAGCTGCCCTGGCTGGATCCCCCCGGGGTCCTTTGAATCTGCATGTTGTGAATCCACCCAAGGCAGGATTTGCCCCCAGGGCTCCTGGAGAACCCCTTCCCTGCCAGGCAGAGGGACTGGGGAAGCGCTGTGCTCCGTCTCTGCTGGGGACATGTGTCCAGGACTGCCCTTAGCAATGCCAACTCTACCATCTCCCACTGGTTTGGACTTTGGGGAGTGTTTCGGGCCAGGGGCTGGCTCCTGCGGTGCCACACATGGCCTCCTGCCACCAGCCGGGTTTGTCCTTTGCCTGTGCCGTGTCTGGACTGGAGCCCAGGGAGGATTAAAGCAGACCGTGTTTGAGCCGACGTGCCGGGTGCTGGCTCTGCCAGGTGGTATTGTCCCACGTAACGTCCCCAGGGCATACCCTGCCGGGGTCACCAGCCTTGGAGCTGTGGTGGTGAGGGTCTGGTGGTTCCTCTGGCTTTGGGAATGAAATCTGTAATGGGGGAAGGTGGGGTGGGAGACAGAGCTCTCCTTTGGGGCCTGGGGGTGAAAAGGTGGGTGGCATTTCCACGGAGTTTGGCTCTCCCTGGGAATGCTGATGGAAATTATTTCCCTCACTGGTGCTGGTGTTCTCAGTGGAGGGTTTGGCCTTGGGACTGAAAATCCGACACCAGCTTGAGCACAGAGATGCGCAGCCGAGTCCTGCTGGGCTCCGGCATCTGTCACCTTTGTGGCCAGCTCTGGAGGACACTTTGCTTTCTGAGAGCCTGGGCTTGTTTGGTGCTAAACCTCTGCTCCTCAGCAGGGTGACATTCACTTGAAAACTGTTTTTTTTTTCCTGGGGTGGAGGAGCAATTTCCTTAAAAACGCTGCAACTAGCTCTAGTCCGGGTGAGCTTGGGAGATGTGAGCTCCCTGCCAGGACCCAGAGCTGCCGCCTTTCTCCACCCTGTCTGGCAGCTGGCTGCCCCTTTTGGCCCTGGAGCAGCTGCTGGGGTTGCTGCCTTCACCCAGGGTTTGGGGGGCTATGCCCCCCTTCTCCCCACAGCTTGATGAAGGTGATGAAGCAGTGGGTGGAAGCCTCAGTAGCCAAGACCCACAGCAGGATGTCCGAGACCATCACAAGCTCCAGGGGCAGGATGAACAGCTACAGCAAGGACCTCCTGAAGGAGAACAACCAGCTCCAGATCACGTGGGACCTGAAGATCCAAGTGGATCTACTGGGGAACAGTGAGAAGGAGACGGCCAAGTGCATGGCCTGCAACCACAGGGTCCCAGCCAGTACAGGCACGAGTGACACAGCAGGGTGGAGAGGTGATGGCAGAGCGGGGACACCTTTGTTCCCCTGGCTGCAGGTAGCCTCGATGCTATGGGGGGATCTCAGGAGCTGGGGACAGAGCAGAAGAAGGTCTGGTGCCAGCTGAAGCTGAGGAAGGGAGCAGCAGCAGCACTGTGGCACGTGTGACCCAGCAAGGGTCCCAGCACTTGTTCCAGTGCCCGCTGGGATGGAGGCAAGGCGCTGCCTGTGCCAGGGCGCTCGGTGCAGCCACGCTCGCAGGGTATGCAGCTGACAGGACATGCTGGCAGAGCTCAGGGCCTTTGGGAAGCTGCGGTGGTGGGGAGACCCCGCTTCTCGGGCTGCCCTCTCCGCTGTGAGAGCTGAAATGGGTCTGTGAGGAGGAGCCAGAACTTCTCCAGCTGTTGGAAACTCCAAGGTTCTGGCTTAAAACCACTTAACTCAAAAATATGAGGCCAACCCTGAAACTTGCTGCAGCTCAGTGGGAGCTCAGCCTTGTGTGCTGCTGAGCTACGAGATTTCAAGTGACTCGTGCTTTTTCTCAACAAAGTCGGAGTGGTTTTGGAACCTGTGGAAGTCGCTCCCATCACTTCCCACTGGAAGTTTCCTTCCAGCCGGGGCTGGTGGAACAGGAATAGGAACACAGATTTGAGCCGCAGAGAACCAGAGACTGCCTGACTTCGGCCAGTGGCGCAAGGGACAGAGGCAGGAGCAGGGCAGAGCCAGGGGCCAGGGTTTATTTAATTTCTGTGGCAAACAGCCATACAAAGCCACTGCAGGGCTTTGAGTGGGACACAAGCTGCCCTGATCTGTGTGGGGATGGTTGGGGGCTGCCACAGTGCCTGGCCAGGCTGCCCAGGAGGGGCAGCTCTGTACCACGGTCACCCCGGAGAGTCCGCAGGACCCTGTCCATCGTCCACGCAGGTCCCCGGGGGTTAGCATCAGCCCCTGTCCCCCGGCTCCCCGGCAGGTGCTCTCCTCTGCAGGATGTGCTCCAGCAGACAGGTCGCTGCCTGGGCCAGAACCTGCTCCAGCCTCTCCCGCTCCCCAGCGCTGAACGGAGCCAGGACATAGCTGGACACTGTCACTTCGCCCTCTGGCCGCCCGATGCCGATCCTGAGCCGGGTCATCTCCTAGGGAGGAAGAAGAAGAGCTGGAGGAGCTTCACCTCAAGGGCCCAGCTGAGAGAGAGCTGGGGCAAGGGGACAGTGCTGCGAGTGGGGCTGGGGGGGTGAAGGAGCAGCCTCTCATGTTTTCCAGGTGGTTTTCAGTGCTTGCTCCAAGAAACATGATTTTGGAAGAGACTTTTGCTGGGCTGTGCTGAGATCCTGGGCTCCTGCCAGGCCTGGCAGAGCCACTCAAGCTAATTGTTTCCATGTCCTCCATGGCGGCCAAACCGACATCAGCCCTCGGGGAAGGAGAAAAGGGAGGAGAGGAAAGGCAGCAGGAGCTTGTCTGAGGGGAGTCAGGAGAAGGGGAGTGGGGGGACGACAAGCCATGCACTGAGGTGGGGGCAGGATTTATCTCCTTCCACTGAGGCCCACTCACGTTGGAGCGCAAAGCACTGATGCAGGATCGAACTCCATTGTGTCCCCTTGGGAGAGAAGGAGAAAACCCACTGTTAGTCTGTAAGAGACGCCTCCCACCACGGTATGGTCTTGGGGTCTCTTGCTGCAGGGACTCGGGGATGTGGTCCCAGCCAGGGGCTGCAGTCCCCATGCCCTGGCTCTGCAGGAACACCCAGTTCCTGGGGCTGAGAGCAGCTGGCTGGGGAGGACGAGGGAAGCAGGGCTGGGACAGCACGTTCTCTGTGTCTCAGCTCTCGCTACAGCTGGTGCACGTGTGGCCGAGCGCCATGGCCCAGTACCATCCCTACCCCGTCCCGCAGTGGAAGATTTCCTAGGTTAAATGTCTCGAGGCTGACCCAGGAGCTGACGCTGGGGCAGGCAGAGTGGAGGCAGAGTGCTATAAAAAGCTCCTGTGGTGCAGCCAATGGGCTGGATCCAGCCCGCAGCCGCTTCCAGGAGGCTCCCTGCCCTTCCTGCCAGGGCAGGGACCGGGAGAGGCTGCCCAACCAGCCAGCCATCATCTCTGCAACTGGAATCGGGCCCAGGGCTGGCGTTGGGGCTGAAAACACCTCCAGGCTGGTGGGACGGTGCCACGAACGGCCTGTGTGCCTGCGAGGGAATGGCAAGGCCTCAGCCCAGCTCGCTCAACCAGAGAGCTGGGGTCAAGACATACCTTGCACTGCCACCCAGCTTGATCGCCACCTTGCCCAGGGCCTTGTCCACGTCATCATGAACCAGGTAAATGTCTTCTGGGTGGAGGTTGTAGATCTCAGCTTTGGAAACAGAAATACAACCCAAGTAATGGGGAGGAGACAGACTCACCCAGCCCTGACCCTGCAGAGCGGGGCTGCAGGGACCCACGCTGCGCAGGGGGACAGCAGGGCTGTCACAGGGCCTGGTGGCACAGCAGGTTTCAGGGGTGACC